TACCTGAAAAAATATTTGTTATAAAGCATCTATGCCTTGACACGAAGTTTAGCTTTTATAGCTCTTTCTTCTGCTTGCTTAGGAGATATTTCAGATGCTACCAGGTTTTTATATAATCCAATTCACCAATGTTCGTAGGGAAGAGTTCGAATTCCATCAAGTAAAATTCAGCGTTTGTTATCATATGGATTTAACCCTATCTTATTCACCCTTTCCAGATATATTTGATGATCATAACTGTGAAAACCGTACATGTCATGTTGAGTTAGTTTCTTATTCCTAAGACATTCTAGAAATTTATCATATCGAAGCTCTCTTTTGACCACACTTTTCTTTACACCCTTTGCCTTTTGGATACTATTCTTCTTTTTAGGATCTTCAGAATCTGGGTCATCGGGAGTTTTAGAATCATGCCCCGCTAGAAAGACTGAGTACATCTTTGGCTTTAAACATACTGTTTCCCTATAGGTATGCCCTTTGTCTCATCCTTCATTAGAAATAAATCGTCTGAATAGTTAAGATCAAAAATGTCTGGCCTCTCTGCTCGATCTTTATAGATGTTATCTGTTTCTATCCACATAATGAGCGAGTCTGTATCAGTATAAAGTAGACGGGCCTTATCTCCATAGCGAGGCTTTATGTAACCGTACCAAAAGTTAAACATCATGGCCTTGCTAATATCGAGAATTGCCTGCCTACATAGATTGGTTTGTTTAGAGTTACTGTGCTTTTTAACATGTGAACTGCTGTGATACCCCCTTCGAATGCTTTAAAGCCTACATATAATGGTGAACTTGCTAAGCGCCTGATTTTTTTATCCTCTTCTGTTCGGAGTAATTCTACTCTTATATGTTTACGGACATTCTCCATCTGTTTACCAAAGACAGCATTATTTTTTAGCTTATAATACATAACCCCAAATTCATCTCCATTAACCTTGGCTATTTTGCGTTTGCGAATATTTTCCTCAATATATTCTTTCATCCACGGAGATTGCCTAAACTTGAGAGCACTATGAACTTTTGTAACCTTCATTTCGAACTTCATATATGTCTAGAGAGCTCGATAATGAACTATATGGGACCTTTGCTAGGAAAATCGAGTTTCGGGACCCCTTTAATCAAAAATAAGATTTTGATCGTATATTAATCTTTAGTATA